GAGTGAGTTCCAGCATCGGTCACTTATGTTCCAATCTTCGAGTGAGTGAGTTCCAGCATCGGTCACTTATGTTCCAATCTTCGAGTGAGTGAGTTGAGTGAGTGGCCGAAGTAAAAGGAAAGAAAAAAGAAAAACGCTCTTGCGCCCGTAGGATCACGCTACCTAGACGACATCGTCTGCACCGTATGTTACGTATTGAGATTATCTCTAGGACAAGATAGATCTACCCTACATGATCTCTCTTTTAGAGAGAAATAAACCGAGGGGGGGAACTGGTTGCGCGGCGCCGTTTTTTGGCCAAGGGTGCTCATATGCTTACGTGGCGTGCGTCTGACATTCTGTGAGTCGAGATAAGCTTGGCATTCTGTGAGTCTAGATAACCTTAACTGCAGCTGTGTGCCTTAATCGGTAATCAGAAGCTACGATGCTAAATCTCTCTCGATGTATTGGTGAGGATTGTACTCGTGGGATCGATGTCGTGTTGTGAAACCACTACCCTTAGTACCTCTGAGCCTGTTTTTGTCGACCCTGGATTTCACTGCGCACCGAAATCTGCCGAGCAGCTGCATGCAGAATCTGGTGCCATTGTCGTTTTTTTTTTTTTTTCCTGGTACTCTTCGGGAAAAAAAAGGGGAATAAAGAAAAAGGAAGAACCCTATGGATGTGAAAGCAGCTGCATGCAGAATCTGGGGCCCATGTGAGACTATGCCCTCCCAATGGGCAGTTACACCCCCGGGCCGTGGTTCCACTAGCAAAGGGAATAGGATAGAAATTCAGAATCTGGCTATGTTCTATGCAGAGATACAGAAAAGCAGTTCGATCTCGATTTCCTGTTCCTGTCCCCAAAACACGTCCAGATTCAGGCATTCAATCAGATGCTCGTTGCTAATGGGACCACGGCCGCGCTGTGTTCATGGGATGAGCCAAAGGAAAAAGAAGTACGGAAAAAGGAAAAAGAAGTACGAAAAAAAAAATCATATTCTTTGGACGTGCAAGCAGCTGGATACACAAAAAAATAAATAAAAAAATCTGGGCCACGTATGACAGTATGCCCTCCTGACGAACGTTACTTTAGGAGCTGTATTCACGACAGCAGCAAAAATAAGAATCAGCTCCCTGGACGTGAAAGCAGCTGGATACAGAATATAGAGTGCAAGTGACACTGTGCCCTAAGTTGCAGAGTTGTCAGCCATCTGTGTAATGCGCCCTGCCTCGTTGGCAGGGCACGAGAAGAGGATGAAAAGAAAATAAAAAAACAAAGACAACCAATAATGAACGTAGCTAAGTTTCTGGGTAGATGCGTTCCTTGGAGTACCACTGTGAGCAAATCTACTTCATGTTTCTTGACTTCCTCCCTCCCTTTCGACTCTGCTGCTTCTTTCACTGTTTTTTTTTCTTTTTTTTTTTTGATTTTGCAATTGGGCCCACAAGTCTTAATACTAAAGGCTTGCCGACCCTCTGCGGGGCTCCCCCCAAAACTTTTGAAGTTTTGGAAAACTGTCAGTTTTCCCGAATTTCTTTTGCCTGGCGGAGGTACTACTGTCTTCCCCCGATCACAACGCACCCTCATTCTGACTGTATCAGGCCGGAAACATATCTTGTATATGTTCGTTTTCAGGGTGCGTTATGTTCGGGGGAAGTAGGTAATGGGTTGGAAGTCTCGTTATTACTTGGAATCCATGTAAATTTGCGCGGTCGTTTTCCACATCCCACCTCGTTCCTCTCTCTTGCGAGTGTGTTGTGGGTGATGACTGTCACTGTAAAAGCCGGCGCTTGTGTTTTTTTTTTTGGTTGTTGTTAATTTGGACCATTTCTCGGTTTATCTGTGTCATCCTTTCTCAGGGGCCATGCTAACTAATCTTCTCTGTATCTTTCCAGTTTTAATGGATGTCCCGCAGGGCTGATGATCGTCACTGTAAAAGCTGATGCTTTTTTTTTTTTTTTTTGGTTGTTGAATAGGACCATTTCTCGATTTATGTGTCATCCTTTCTCAGCGGCCATGCCAGCTAAAGCTTCTATGTATCTTTCCAATTTTAATGGAAGTCCGATAGGACTGACGACGTTCACCGTAGAGCTGACGCTTGTTTTTTTTTTCCGGTTAAACTGGACCGTTTCTTGATTTATGTGTGTGATCCTTTCTCAGGCGCGATGCTAGCTAATGTTCTCTATATTTTTCCATTTTTAATGGAAGTCCGGTAGGACTGACGCGTGATTATGTTGTGGGTGGTGTGGCGTTGTGTGGATGGTCTGGTTTGGCAGCGAAAACATCATTTGGAAGGCTTTCAGTCCTACGACGATCAATCAGGGTCGGGGGGCGGAGTTTGAGGGTGCGGTGATTGCTCTCTTCCACTTGCTTATCACTAGAACGGATAAAGTCCGTGCTTTAAAGGAGGCTTTTTATCGAGCAAATCTACCGAACGTGACCAACTTGTTGGCCACCGTGCTCGTCTTCCTCATTGTCATCTACTTCCAAGGGTTTAGGGTTGTTCTGCCTGTCCGATCGAAGAGCGCGAGGGGCCAGCAGGGCTCTTATCCCATCAAGCTTTTCTACACCTCGAACATGCCCATCATTCTGCAGTCAGCTCTTGTGTCTAACCTTTACTTCATTTCCCAGGTAAGAAGTTTCTCCCTCAGTTTTTATTTGTTTCTGTTCGATTCTCAGATGCGTATCTGTTCACTTGCAGGTTTCTAGGTTTCTTCTTCTTCTTCTTCTTCTTCTTCTTCTTCTTCTTCTTCTTCCAGCAGCCTTGTAGGTCAGTTCTTCTTCTTCAGGCTTCTTCCTCTTCTTCTTCTTCTTCCTCCTTCCAGCAGCTGTTGTATGTTTCTTCTTCTTCTTTGTCTTCTCCTTTTTTTGCCTTCTTCTGCTCCTTTTCCCCTCATCCTCTTCTTTTTCTTCCTCTCCTTCTTTGCCGCCCTCCTTTCAGAAGCTCTTGTAGGTTCTTCTTCTCTTTTTTCCGTCATCTCCCTTTTTCTTTTTCACTCAAGCAGCTCGTGTTCTGTCATCTCCTTTTTTTTTCACTCAAGCAGTTCGTGTTCAGCTTCCAGTCTTTGGCTAATAAGTTGGTTACGCATTGATTTTGTGTGCCAGCTTCTGCACAGGAAGTACGGCAGGTACTTCATTGTTCAGCTTTTGGGGAAGTGGCAGGAGTCTGAATGGTCGCAGAGCGGGCAGCTCATTCCTGTTGGAGGTCTTGTGTACTACATCACGCCCCCTTCAAGGTACGACACCCGACACAACCCGTATCCAACTTGTCCGAGGTTAAGATGTGTCATGCCAATGGTTGTCTTTTCCTTTGTGCTTCTTTTGGTTTAGGTTCCAACCAGTTCTTGCCTGGTTTCGGGTTCGGTTACTTAGAAGGTGGATGGTTTTGGTTGCATGGAATTTCTTAGTTTATGTCGTTTCTCACATAAATTTTCACTGTCCAAGGCCACTGCCTCTTGTTGTTATCCTGGCAACGTGGATCTCTAATATTCTGTCATCTGTCTATGTACTTCAAACTTGCATTGCTCCTCTGTGCACTTCGGGTGCCAGTCAGTACGGTATCCGGGCAGTTCACTTATATTTGTTGTAGCTCTGTGAAAAAAGCCAATTCTATATTCTGTTTGTAAATCGGATTGGGAAGAAGGCAATGGTATCCTGTGTGTTAATTGTATCGGGAAGTGTCAGCAAAGAAAATGGCACGACTTGGTCCTTGGGTATGGAGGCCAGTGGGTTTGTGTTTCTTGGCGCTGCATGCAATCAGACTCGTTCTCAAACACACTTTTCATGCATGTAAACAGCAACGCAGCATACTGGCGACATGCGGCCACTCAAAACTCAGAGATATGGCTTTCAGATACGAGTTCACTCTCAATTGGCTATGGCGACTTCAGCGCCCAAACATCTCATTGTTCACATACACCTGTCTCTTATACACATCTAGATGTGTATAAGAGACAGGTGCTAACTCCTCCTCTCTTGCCCACTGCGTCCTCCGGGCTCATCTGCAGACCTCCTTGCACAAGTCGCTGTGGCAGCGCTTCCGCATGGCTCACGCAGGAATGAATGAATGGCTGGGCGCTGCCTCTTGATTTATACTTCAGAAACTCGTTGGTCTGCCCTTTGCCATCGGCCCTTGGTGCTTACAGTCCCCCTGTGGTACTTGCTGGACCGGACTGGGACTGACTGGACCTTCCGTTGACTGACTGTGGACTCACCGCTATCCTACCGCAGTTGCACTGCCGTTGCACTGCGGTTTAGTCCACCACTTGCCTCACCACTTGACCACTTGCCCACTTGCCTACCTTCTAGAAGGTCTACAGCTAAGCTTCCAGAACTCACTAAGACTCCTACACTATAGACCTACAGATCGAACCCCTGCTGTCTATGGACCTACGACAGGTCTACCAACTGCCTACGAACACACAGGTCACAGGTTCAATTCTCGGGGTCTACACAGATACTGTACATGGGTAGGGTGAGGTCTAGGGATCGAACCCTGGGTACTGCATCCGCTACTGCTAAAAGGTGAAAACCGTTTCAATGAAGCTGCCGGCAAGATTCGGGAGGGGATCACGGATGACTGTTGATGACAAAGTGGGGCCAGCTTGCCACCCCCTTTGTTTGCATTTTACCCAGACTGGTATTCTGTAAACGGACTGAGAAAAGAAGACGTGAGAGCAGGAAAGGGTCATCATTTGCTTGGCTGCACATGTCTGTGGTTTATCTAATGATCAGTTCTTGTCGTGTTTTGCAGTCTGGCGGACATTGCGCACAACCCATTCCATGCTCTTTTCTATCTCACTTTCATGCTTACGGCCTGCGCTCTCTTCTCAAAGGTCTGGATTGAGGTGTCAGGATCGTCAGCGAGAGACGTTGCAAAGCAACTGAAGGTTTGTATTCCAACTTTGCCTGTCCTTCACCTATCCACCGTTCTTGACTATCATCCAGGCTTTCTCTTCCGTCTCTCAGATTCCCCCCCCCCCCCCCTCCCTCCCCCCAAACTAACTCGAGTGAATGGCCGGGATTGAGCAGAAGTGACCATAGAGTATAAATGTTTTGACGGAACTCGAGTGAATGGCCGGGAATGACCGGAGGTGACGATACCATAGAGTATGATGTTTTGACGTTTTTTCTTAACCACTTCAAGAATTAGCCGGTTACAATCTCAAGGGCAGCCTGGTAATTCGTCGGGATGCAACGATAGGAGATACCTTGTGTTGCTCTTGACAGTTTAGGTATCGAATGGGTAAATGACAAGTTCTTATGACATGTGGGAAGCTACCTACCATGACAGTACCCTTGCCTTACGGCTGTCGCTTGATGGCAGAGGACATCACTTACGCCTTGAACTGCTGCCGTCGACTCACAGATAACTTACTACGAAACTACTGGGCTGGGATGTCGGAGAGGCGTGAGGATTGTTTCTGAGGGTTCGCTCACGACTGAGAATGGTTTGGCTTGGATTGCGGGGGTGCATTGGATACAGCATTTTCCAAGTTTTTGCGAGGAAGCCCTATGCCCACTAATGAATTTTCTCCTGCTCTATGCTCACTAACGAATTTTCTCCTAGTGTATGGGTTAGCAAGGAAACATGCTTATGCCAAGCTTTTTGATGTCTGAAGTTTTCGCAGAGTGGATGCAAGAGTGAGGTTCCTGTGTTTGCATGCCGCGTGGGTAGTTTATGATTTTCTACTCGGAATTTGATCCTTCCAACTCGTAATAATTTGTGGCGTAGATCTCATGAAAGCTTGTAGAGGCTTGGAATGAAGGCGGCCTCCAATTGCGGGTCAATGTTTGTGGTTGTGACAAACCTTGTTGTTTAATCCCCTCTTTAGTTCCCTAACAATCCCATTTATTGAATGATTGTGTTTGCAGGAGCAACAAATGGTGATGCCCGGACATCGCGAGTCCAATCTGCAGAAGGAGCTGAACCGTTACATCCCAACGGCTGCTGCGTTCGGAGGCATGTGCATTGGTGCACTTACAGTGGTGGCTGACTTCATGGGAGCCATCGGCTCTGGAACCGGAATTCTGCTCGCTGTTACGATCATCTATCAGTACTTCGAAATGTTTGACAAGGAGCGGACAACGGAAGCACTCTGGTTATAATGAGGACATGAGTGTAGCAGCGGAAGACGTTTCTTGATTTTCCTATTCCCTGTTTCTTTTTGTTCAAGAGGACTACTGATTGAAAGCAGAGGTGAGAGGGGGTAGGGGGGTTAGTTGTGTTGTTGGTGTCCCAGCTCTGTGATGGCGGAAAGATTCTGATGGCATTGGAAAAGGAGGGCGTTCTGGGGACATGTGCCATGGCTTGGGAACCAGAAACAACATGTTGGGAAGCAAACGTGAGTACCTTAGCATGCCACATTGTGTTTTTTTGTTAAGGCATGGGGTATCCCTGCACTATAAAAGCCACTATTGTAAGCAAGCTCGAATCCGGGCTCTGTGGTCCACGGACTGGATTGTTGCATGAATGTCCAAATCTTGGAACTGGTTTGTTGAGTCCTACCGGCCCCACGACCTGATCGTCATGCGATCTTGAAATTTTAAGGTACTGTGATGATCGGCGAAGTTGGCCTGGTACTATTGGCTGAACTGTCCAGATGGAAGTTGATTTGGGCTATCACGCAGATCCTAACGCAACCAGCTGGCAGCGGTGCTATTGGCAGTCTGGCGTGAGTTATTTCGGTGCCATACTGGTGAAGTGCTTTGTCAAAGTGTGCCCCTTGGTGGTTGGTTAAAGTGTGCCCCTCATCTTCCTTCTGTCACATTGGTTGGGTCTGTTGTTGAGTGCTTTGTGTGGGCGTCATTGTGGGGAGAGAGAGAGAGAGAGAGAGAGAGAGAGAGAGAGAGAGAGAGAGAGAGAGAGAGAGAGAGAGAGAGAGAAATGCTAATATCTGTATGGATCTCTACTCTGGCAACCTGTCACACACACACACACACACACACACAGAGAGAGAGAGAGAGGCATGCTGGTAGATGAAGGCAATGATTGATTTTTGGGTGCTTTCTTCTCAGCCTCTCGATGAGAAGAGAGGTAATCAATCAAAGCCACTCTACTGTCTCTTTTCAATATTCTGAACGTTTGGAGCATTTTGACCGTATTTTTAAGCTTTTTCAAAACTTTCAGCATTTTGTCACCATCTTGGAGTGTGTTCTTTGTCGTGGGGGACCGATTGGTGTGCTTTCTTTTCTCTTTTGCATCTTCGGCCAAATGTGTCTGGCAGACACTTTATTAATTTCTCTCTGACCTTCTCATTTCAGACTGATCAATGGCAAGGAATCCATTACAGCTATTTCATATGATGCACCACACGCACGCACGCACGCACACACACACACACACACACACACACACACACACACACACACACACACACACACACACACACACACACACANAGAGAGAGAGAGAGAGAGAGAGAGAGAGAGAGAGAGAGAGAGAGGGTCGCTATCCACGCCGTGCAGAGAGGCGTTTTCTTTCACAGGACCTCAGCGATACTTCTTTTTTTTCTGCTTTTTTTTTTTTCTGCTCTTGTGGTCTCTGGTCGCTCGTTCTAGTTTTCAAAATGAGCTACCACCTACACCTGTGCCGAGGCTCCACCGAGCCCCTAACAAGCCTTCCAAGGGCTTCCATGAATTCAGGAAGGCAAAACAAACGGAAAAAGGTGAGTAGGTTGGGAAAAATGAATGAGAGAGGTTTCTCACTCCCCCTCACTCTAGGGGACTTGAATAGCTGAGGTAGAGTCAGTTTCCGCAGAACTGGAATATCCGACGGAGAGTCGGTTTCGGCAGCCAGTCATTTAAACAGGTTATCCGTTTAATAAAACGTTAAGAAACAAACAACTGATGCGACCATGGCATCAAGCAAGTTACTCCATGCAGGTAAAAGGAAAAAGAGAGGTTCGACCCCTTGCATCTCAAAAAGGAGAGGGAAGAGAGAGAGAGAGAGTTCTGGGCCATGAAATCTGTAGATGCATACTTATGTAGACCCTGGGTCACAAGTGTGCACTGGCTTTACTTGCGGAATGTGGAAGTGTATAGGGTGAGGATGACCGAAGGAAGACCGCTTGTGAATCTATTGTTGGAGCAAAGTCACAGGCAGCAGGGCGGAAAACGACATTCGTAATCGAGAGGGCCAAAGATGAGAGGGAAGGTGAATTGATCAGGTGTGGAGGTGGACAAGCGCAAGCAACGGGTAACCACTTCCCTTCTTTTGACGAAACGGTGGAAATCTGGCGGGAAGAGGGTGAGGAGGAATGCCGTGCCCCTGGCTATATGGGCTTTCCCCCCTGGGTGAAAGTACCTAGAGTTCTTGTTCGGGTATAGATCATGGAGGGTGTGTGCGTATGGTGGTTGAATCATGGCCGACGACGGAGGATGTAAGGTAGTGCAATGGTGGGTGTTCGCCTACTCCCCACAATAATTACAACACTATTTCTATTTCCCCAGCATTATGATAGTGGTGCCAATGCTGTGTGGACAATTGCATGCATGCCGACGGAGTTCTTCCGCAGCTCAAGAGAAGATGGGAAAACAAAGGATGATGAGATGGTACTGACTTGGCACTCAACAGCTCAAACAATAGGTTATGATGAACGCAAACAGAGATGGAACCTTTCTTTTCCATTCCTGTACGTTGTGTAGAGTAAACCTGCAACCGATCGTCTCCTGACGAGCGAATGGCATGTAATGAACCAGATGGGTGGTGGTGGGTGATACGCAGGGTAGCCCTCTCGTAAAGAACCTGGATGGTTCATCTGGTCAGGTGCGTACTAATTCCTGCACAGTATAGGTGTATAGGGGCATTCTGAAGGGGGGTCTGTGGTGATCAAGGCGGCCCTCCTCGCTTCAACAAAGAGAAGGGTTCTGTTCAAATACTTGCCGTCTTTTTCCAATGAATGAAGTTGTCCTCTTCAAATACCTCTTGTCGGTTTCCTACAGATGAATTCGTAAAGACGGAATTTGTTATTAATTAAAAAAGAAAATGAAGACCTAACCTGGTTGTGCACCGTTTAAACCACTTCACCGTTCAAACCACCAGTACCTTTCTCAGCCAAAAGTTCTAAAGGCCATCAGTTAGCAAGGAGGCCGGCACTGGCCCTGTATGGCGGCCAGATTTAGGCCGAATCTGTGCTGTGCAGGGCCTGCGGCCAACATATGTGAAAGGTACTGGCGGTTTAATAGCCCCATTTGAGACGTCCAGTCGATCTCCTACAAATGCATTCGTCAAGACCTGAATTGGTTGCACACTGTTTAATGCTCCCTTTGATACATCTGGTCGGTCTCCTACGAATGAACTCGTCAAGACCTAACCTCATTGTGCACCGTTTAATAGTCCCCTTTGATGTTGAGGGAGTTACATGGAGTTTGCAGCTTGTGATTTCAACAGGCCTGCAGGGTAATGTAGTCGAGTATCAGCCTTAGCACCAGGCAGAGCTAGTGCTTTATGCTAGTGCTTTATCACCGTAGTGCGATAGCTAATACTCCTGGGGCAAGTGAAAACTGTATGGTAGAGGGGAATATTCAAGTTGGACGCATCAAAACGGCCAGTTGTATCAAGCTATTTCAACCTATTTGTCAGTTTTGCTTTGTCGTGCGAGTCTGGGCAATGCCACAGGATTGCAGGTTTGTCCTTCTCCCAGAATGGTCGGATGGTAGGACGCAGCTGGTTAGTATGGAACGGCATCATTTCAGTGGCAGTGGCAGTGGTCTTGCAGATGTGTGGAAGTGGGAAGTGTATTCTGTTGGCACCAGTACTTGGCCCAACTATCTGCCACGGGCCTTGGCCGTTTATGCGCCGCTGCTTCGGGGTAGCGGACCACAAAGGCTGGAGGCGCCAGCCAAAAAAAAAAAAAAACAGTGCGTTTGCGGTTTTGTGGAAAGCGCAGGATGTTTTGGGGCTCGGGATCAAATGCTGGGCCAAGTACAGGGTGCAATGCACTGACAATTTGTGACAAGCCATTGGGAAGAGTCTCACATGTTGTGTTAGAAGTGGACAGAAAATGAGGAACGAGTTGGGAGTTGTGGTGGAAGACCCTACTCGGTATAAGCAAGTTTGATCCAATTTCGGAGTTTGTGCTTTTTGCTTCATAAATCACATGCAATTTGCATGTGCTTTTTGCTTCATAAATCACATGCCATTTGCACAGTGTGTGCAAGTAACCAGGGACCGTAAGGTTGGTGCGCCATCCACAGTCTGTGTATTCTGTCGTGTGGTACCTTCGGGCGCTGGAACGGTTGCTTGCAGCTCCCCTTGAAGCGGGGAATACCCTGTGAGGGGCGCACTCAGTCGGGACTGAGTGTAGGGGGGGAATGCCAGGGCTCGGAGGCCTCCGAGCAATCGAAAGCGGTTCCCCTTGGTGCGTCGTGACTGTGGTGCGTTGTGCCTGTCGGCGGGGTGCGTTGTCTCTTCCGGCTGGGTGCTGGGCGGTTACTAGCGGGCTGAGTTTGACGGCGGTGCGTTCTGATTGCTGCCCAGGGTATCACTGGCCCTTGGGCGAGACCCCTCGAGTGTGTGGTCAAGGATGAGCCTTGCCTTGAGAGATCCCTGGGTGTAGGTGGGCCCGTCATGCGGCCGTGGTGGGCTGAATCTGGTGCGTACAGCCCTCGGGTGGACTCGCTCACTAGGTACTACCCCTGATACTCCTCACAACCCTTGATAGAAAAGAAAAGGAAAAAACAAAGCGTAGGGCTGTACAATGTGGGAGCAATAATCACAAATAGCAACCGTTACGAAATAAAAGCGAAGGGCTATCTTGTGAGCCCTTTGCTGTTCTTCAGCGTGGTCTGGTGTCGATGTTCAATTTTTGGATTGGGAAGCGAAATAAAATACCGGGGTTGGAAGAATTACAGCTGTGTCTTGCTGATTTGTTGTCGAAAAGTCAGGTCGACGGGCTCGACTGAGGTGGGTTGTGTATCTGTCCTTCCACTTGGCAGTGTGTTTCATGCCTTCGGATGGAATCTGCGGTCGCATGAAAATCTGTCTCGGAGCTCCGCGGAGGACCTGCTCCGTCGCTGCAGTTCCCTGGAATCAGATCTATGGTTCGTTGTTGATTCCACGCTTCAGTGACGAGGCGGGGTGTAGATTCCATATCCTTTTGGTGTATTCCATAAGGTGTTCGGAAGAACAGCACTTTACGCATTGAGGGCCGTGCTCTGCGTGTTTGCATAGTCCGGTGGTGTGTGTTGCTTGGTACGTTCTTCTCCCGAATACAACGGACGGTCATGATATCTGTATTTGGGGTATGTTTCAGTCTACATACAGGTACAGTGACCGTACGTTGTATTCGGCGGAAGAAGGTAGGGAATGGAATCTCTTGTAGTTAGGACCGAATGGCACCTCCCTGTCTGCATTTCTTGTTTGGAAGAAATGTGTGTTTTGCTTGGCCCTTTGCCAGCCGAGCATTGCTTGGTCTTGTTGAGGCCACCGATAACATTTCTGGAGGCCGGAACCTTTTTCCCAGTTAAGCTGCGCTTCGGCGCTGTCCGGTACACAAAGATCTCTGCGGCGAGTGGAGCACGGTCTTTTGTTGTTTGGAAGGACAAAAAAAGCAGACAGGACTGGCTGGGCTTCCCCACTCACCAAGTTTGGTGGAAAATAAGCACACGAGGGTCATCACGTCCCACTGCATTTCCTAAATTTGAAGCTCGGGTGTGAAAGAGAGGTCGATTGGCACATGAAAATGACGTTGAAGCTTTTTTGGTTTCCTGAATTAGAAGCTCACCTGTGCATTCTGGAGCAAGGTGATATCAGATCCTGGCGCTCGTAGGCGTGCCCTGCAGTTTTGACATTTTTACATCTGGATGCATTGTGGCTGAGCTAGTTTGTGCGTTTGCCCCTTTATGGGGCACAGGGCATTATTAACCAACTTTAGGCCTCTTTGGAGCATGGAAACAAAATATGGGCTTTTAGCACCAGCGTAGAGCACAATAAAATCCGAATTCGGGTGCAAAAGGGGGGAAGAGGTGGTATCGAAACCTGATTCTACGACGACCATTTCAGGAACTGACCCCGGTGGGCCAGGAAATGTCCTCGTCTGTTTGTCTCTATTCGAGG